GAGATTATGGGTCATGTTTCTGATGTTCTCAGCTAGGATTAGCTGATGTCTCTTGTGGGGCTGCAAACACGTTATAACACAAATCAACACTCACAGTGAAATATGTCCCTGGAGAACAAACCCACCAGCTCCTAAGTGCTCACATGCAAATAAGAGCTGAGGAAGCTAATTCATCCACGGATTTTACTTTCTCTATGTAATGAACAACATCAGCCTAAGATGGTTTGCTGGTTTGATGGTCTCCCAGCCTAAACAGGTTTGTCTGAGAGCAGTTTTGTGCACTTTTCGGCAAGTCCGGGCTGAGAGACCGGTCAGCTACCATGCTTGGCTGTGTTAGTATGCCCTAATAGCCACCAATACCCTAAAAACACCCTAGCAACCACCCAAACCCACTACAACCCCCTAGTAATACCCTAACAACCACTCAGAAACCACAGGAATCAGCTAACAATGGCCTTGCACCCCTAGAAAAAATTAGCAAATGCCATGCCCTAATGCCACCAACATCCTAGTAATGCCCTGGTAATTGCATAACAACCACCTATCAATGGCCTAGCAACCACATGAGCACACTAGCAAACCTGTGACAATGCCCTGATAACCACAAACACAATAGAAATGCCCCTAGCAACCACCCCGAACACCCTACCAAACCCCTAGCAATGCCCTAACAACTACCAACACCCTATAAATGCCATATCTAGTTATTAAAAAATAATAATTAATGCAACCGTTTTATTTAAATGCAGTTTTTAGCATTTTAATGAGTTCAAAAAATTTATTTATTAAGAACTTAAAGGTGCAATGTGTAATATTTACATCGATCTATTGACAGAAATGCAATATAATATACATAACTATGTTTTCAGAGGTGTATAAAGACCTTACTTAATGAACCGTTATGTTTTTATTACCTTAGATTGAGCAATTTATATCTACATACACCGCGGGTCCCCTTACATGGAAGTCGCCACCATGTTTCTACAGTAGCCTTAAACGGCACATGGCACATGGAAACGCATGTTTGTGAATGGGCAATTGATTTACATTCGAGAGAAACTAAGATTGAAAACAAGGATACAAACTAGCCACTTTTCACTGTAAATTGACGTTGTAAATTCAAAATAGGCCAACTGTGAAATTCAAGTAGATTCAATGAGTTGAAAAGTCTTGCTACTTCATACTTCAATACAAAACAATGCTGAACTTTGAAAAAAAATAGATTTTTAAATGTTATAATAGTGATTTTACAATGTCTAAATATAAATCCATTAGCAAAACATGTGAAAATAACTATATTACAGAGTGGAAATGGTAAAGGAGACAATAAATGATCCTCTGCTGCCATTTAGTGGTCATAGTGGGAATCATGACATTCATTTTAATAGTAGGCCTATTTGTTTTTCTATCAGGTGAAATCTTGGCATAAATCGTCCACTTAGCATGGCGCATTTTCCATGAATTATCTCTTTAAGTAAAAAACAAAACAAAAACAAAAAACATGCAGATGTTCTTTAAAATAAATTTTGCTATATAAAAATATGCAAAAATATTAATAATTTTGAGGCAAATTATATATATATATATATTCAAATTACCTAACTAAAAAGTGAGCAATAGTACATGTGTTTGAAAATAAAAATTAATAAAAAAATGTGTTCTACTGTCTGGGGTCTGCCATCAGGAGTTAAAGGGGATGTTATGTGATACACTTTTCTTTTTTTCTTGTTTTTACTTTTCACTTTTTCCCTATGGTATTAAAAAAGAGGGAAGGGGGTTCAAACCGTTGTCACTTTTTTCACTCCTGATGAGTTTGTATCCTTCCATGCACAAGCTAGTAATGGGCTTTTGATCATTGACTTGCAGAAAGTTTTCTGCGCGAGTTAGTGTTAGAGGCTACTAGAATAGAGGGGGGGCGCCGACACTGATCTTGCATACCCCTCAGCAAATGTGCAGTTGCGCCCCTGTGCGTATGTTCTATAAAGGGCAAGCACTGCGTGACTCATCCCCGAATCAGACATTTTCACCCAGCTTCAGAACAGGAAGTGACCCGTGCCTGGTCACAGGGAACCAGCAGGACGTTTCTGGGTCATCTGACCCTTTTATTAAGGTGCTTTAAAAGTTCTTTTTGACATTTTGGAAAATTGCGACTGGTTCGCTTTAGCGTTTGTGTATACTTCGCAATACCCACATAAATGTCATATCGTAATTGCGGTTTTGTAATTCACAGCATATTATTTGTCTTTGTTGGGTTATTAACAAAAAACGTCTCACCAGTGCGAGAAAATATTTACACGTTTGCGTCCGTGGTGAACTTACAGCACTTGTGCACATAGGAGGGGCCTGGGGAGCTCCCTTTTTCTGTTACTATGGAAACGCAACCCCTGCCCACCAACCAGGAGGTGGAACGGAGGTTCCAAACTGCAAGCTGTCATTGCGTATGCATATCTGTTTTGTTTGAGCGTACGTGTGCGTATGTATGTGTGTTGTTACTATCCAAATATAATACAAGGAGACTGGTGCGTGTAAAGCTGTCTGTTCTCATTTCTCTGCTGTCTCTCTTACTCCAGAGACAAGCACGTACACACAAACACGCGCGGCGGAACTCCTTTGGAAGCAGACATTCTGAGGTGTTCATCTGACTGACTGCTATTCTTAGAGTCTCTCTACTCACAAAGGCCCTGGCAGAGAGGAATACACACAGATGAAAAGGAAAAATGTGTTAGTATATGTGTGTGTGAGCGCGTGTAGATGTTAAAAATGCAGGGCCGCTGCCACCAGTAGGTAGCTGAGCTCTAAGAGAGCATGTCTGCGTGTACGGGAGAAATAGAGAGAGGGAGCAGGTGAGAGGTAGATCAATAAAAAGCTAATCTGTGAAAACAGGATGGTGTAGAAGCAGGGGACCTCTCTCTCTCGCTTCTCTTTTTTGTTGCGTCTTTCCCCACCCCCTTGCTTATCTGTCCATTTTTAGCTCCTGCTGCATCTAAGACTAGCATGGTGACACGAGCATTAGCTGAGTCTTACTCTCTCGTACAAGAGGGCGAAGTGGTGTAACATCGCCGACAAAGGTCTCGCAAACATGCAGTGTCTTTTGTCTAGTCAGGGACAATAAATATGACAAATGTGATGGAGAAAATTTCATATGGCAATGGAAACCATGGCCCCGAAACATCTGTTCTGCAAAACGGGTAATTGTTGTCTGATATAAAATGTCATCTATCATATGTTCTATTTGTGGACTGTCTCTTTGAGGTAATTCGTTAGTTAATTGTTCAAATGCAATCTGCATTCAGTCAAGCCACATTGAGAGCAGTGTTCACAAATCATAATTTTTGCCTTTTGACGAGCACATCCTAATTTTACAAAATTAGCATGTCACATGATAAAAAATGCTAATTGAAATATTCAAAAATTTCAGTAATTTAAACATGTATCAACAAAAACTACTGTTCTGATAACCTGAAATAACATTACATTACTAAAGTACAACTATAAAATTACAAAAGCTTGGAGTTGATTTTAATGTTTTAATTATGTTTTTTTGAAAGATTTTAAATATATATTTTTTTATGCTTGCCAAGGCTGCATTCATTTGATTAAAAATACAGTTAAAACAGTAATATTGCGAAATATTCTTACCATTTAAAATGTTTTATATTTTAATATGTTTTCAAATATAATTTGCAACAACATTGTGAAACCTAGTTCTGTTTTAGATACATGCAAAATATTTTACAGTGTCTGACACAGTCGCTTTAATTCACAGGCCCCAGAATAATTACAATTGTAAGGCAGGACCCCTTATGTAAAACCATGTTTTTGGACCCCCCTCAAGACAATGTTTCCGATTATCCCCCCATGTCAACAAACCTGGACTTGATGAGTAAATCAATGGATAAAAAACTGAAAGAGCCAAATGTGCCTGACCTGTTGCCCCCAATTAATAGCTATTTTATCATATGCATGTTTTATGTTAATTTCATTGTACGTTAGAGAGTGCTTTGAAAATTAAAACGCAGGTTCCTGCTGTTGGTTCACCTTAATTGCACTATTCAGATTTAGTCGGAAATATTTTTCATCAGATGAATCTGTGTGAGACATGGACAGAGGATCAATAAAACTTTCGAAAAATCAATCACTCAAACTCCTCTAGCAAACAAAATATACACAAGCGTAAAAGGTGCATTATAGTGAACAAAATAAATCAATCACAAATGCAGATCAATATATAGATTCCATTAAATTAACAAGTTTAAAAGTAGTCTGGTGAAAATAAACTGAGAGATAGTGAATATGTTTTTGCAACAGTAAATGAAAGCAGTCTAAAATAGATTAGATGATTAAATCAGCGATACTTGATAAGCTGAAAAGGCACAGTAGGAGTTTAGATTTAATTCATAATGTTGACAGAATTTTCATGAGGATAAACGCTGGGACAACTCTAGCAGTCATCAAGGGCATCTGCTGCATGCTGTGCGATCAAAAGCAGGCCATACAAGCAAGATGCTCCAAAAATACACAAGAACTGAAAGCGTTTTTGAGGAAGTGACTAAAATAACTTCTAACCGCCCTGTCAGTCTGCAAGTCAATGCCAATGAAGGAGGCCTCATATCATAAATTGTAAGAGTACTTCACTTGCAAGTCTCTCGAAAGCTTGATTTGATGTCAGCCTTTAATTATCGCATTTATGAGATTCATGGATCCCTCAGAGGTGCTAACGGTTATGTATTGTGATAGTTATGACAGTTACCGTTCTGTTGAGTGCCAGCTCGGCTTATCTGAAATGTATTTACTGAGCATAAACAGCTTCTTCACAATAAATCTGGGGAGCAGCCAGGGTAATCAATTTAACCGCAGATGCACGAGAATAAGAGATGAATGCGATCTGTAATCCGCAACACCTGCTCCGCCGCCGGGTCGGTAACGGCACTCCAAACAAAGGCTCGAGCTGGAATTAAAGTGCTTAATTAAAAGGCCACTGATCAGTATGCTATTTATAGGCGCGCGGCGGGGAGACTCCGTGTCTGGCAGCTGATGCTCGTTACGTTCGTTGCCTACTCTCTGCTACCGGTCAGGACCCTCTTGGTGGTTTTGTTCGGCATCCTTGTAGCTGCGTCGCATTTCATCGTGACGGCGACATCGGTAACGGCGCGTAGACCTCGCGTGTGGACACCGGTAAGTTGTGTCATTGCACGTTCCATCCCTAAAAAAAAAATCGCATTTATTGCTTTTGGCGTGTCATATAGGGTGATGCACTAGCGATTAGCGCGCTCGGTGGAGCATGAGGGCTGTGGGCTCACGCACTGCACGTGCACACAGGTGCCGTGAAAAGCGCGCAAAGGCCAGTCTGACTTCAGCACCACTGAGGATGGACAGCTCCTAGAGAGAGCAGTCAGTCAGAAACCCATCAGAACTTATTTTATGAAAAATAAACCACAAAATTAAAACAGAAAGTCAGTTAGTGGTTAATTCAAAAATATGTGTACGTTTACAACTTAATCATTGTAGTTTAGCCAACATAAAATTCAAGAATTATCTGAATTGTGTACATTTTAAATGCCAATTTTGAATCACTTCCAACATTGATTTAAAAAAAAATCTATTTCATTTTATTAAGAATATCAGACTGAAATTATTTGGATGTTTCAATAGCTTGCACAGCTTCTGTGCCAAAGTTAGCGTAATAATACTATAAACTAAAAATGTGTTTTATCTTCAGCTTTAGCAGTCAGAATTTTACTGTGAGATGACATGCTATTTTATTTTCTGTCCTGACACAACAAATGACACTAATACCCAATAGTGGAATAACCTTTGAATTATTTATTTATTTATTAATTACATGCTTGGCCAGTTGGAGATTTATGAAGGTGTGTACCAAAAATTATATTCAGAATAAATAAAGCTTCAGTGATAAAGCTGTAAATTGTTTTAATTTAAAGTTTTCCTCTAACTGGGACTATATTCCTTTTCCCCTTAAATTAATTTTCTTCCAGCCAGCTTCCACAGCTTTGGCCATAAACACAAGGCTGCAGGTCTGATATTCAGTACTACAGCACAACTGTTTTAAACAGTTCAGTATGTTTCAGACACAAATTGGTCAGGAACAGCATGCATGAGTGTAGCTACAGAGATTTACCTTTACCACAAAATTGTTAACAATCCATTGTAATACTTCTAAACATTTTAAATGTTGTTTTACATTTAACATTTAATGTACTGTTTGGGGTTTAACTTCTTCATGCAGACCTTTCAGACAGATCTGAAAAAACTCTTCTTTTTAGTTTCCATCTAGGTCATTTTCATAGCTCAAAAAATACCCCACATTTAAGCATCAGGCTGATGCTTAAAGAGAAGTTTCACAAAATAAATAAGAAAAGATAAAATGGAAGATAAAATAAATTTAGGAAAATGTCTGTACAATGGAAGTCAGTGGTAACAAAACTATTTGATTATCTACATTCTTCAAAACATTGTATATTCTTTTGTGTTCCACAGAACAAATAAAGTGATACAGGTTTAAAATAACATGAGAGAGTAAATAATGACAGAATCTCAATTTCTGAAAAAAAAAAGTTTGCTATGTGCTTTTGCTGAGGTCAAATTGATTCAAAACAGAAACAACATTACTGAAATAGATACCAGTCACAGAGGGATAAGGCTCCACTAACAGAAGTGCGTTTTGATTAGGTTAGAGAATGACATGAAAATAAGAGGCTAATTTCAATATCACTACTGTTATTGTTATACATACATCAATGGTATCTCTGAAACATTAAACAGTGTAAATCTAAACAGCACAAGAAAGATCAAATGAAAGGAGTGAGGCTGTAAACAGAGCAAGATATTAATCTTAATATGGAGAGTATTTGTATGCACTGACCTTTCATTTAATCTGGCAGACTGACAAAATGACACATTTCACTTCAGCTTGTAACCTCTACACCTCTGATTTACAGAACGCCGTGACAGTTTCACATGTCTCGCTACATCCTTGCTGGATGCTAAATGATGTTTGTGACAAACGCTCACACAGGAATTGCAGCTTCCGTCATCAAAAACCAAACCTGTGAGAACAGGGACTAGATTTGGTGACCTACTAAGCCATGATTTCATCGAAAAGACCGGTAGAGTGCCTAAAATCCAATCAAAACTCTCCAAAGACCTTAAGCAAAGAGGATCAACATAAACTCATTAAAAACACCTGATCTAAAAATATCAGCATGCCACTTCACATTAAAACAGCAGCATCGCACAGCACACAGCATATACAGTATTTCATTATTGCTCTCCAAACTTCAAGAGCACTTCACATCTAGACACAAGTGTCACTGTTCACATGCTGAGTTAATGAGGTTTTTATTCACAACCTCTCACTCAGACTGTCACAGCGTAACCTTGATGGATATCATGCATTAATATACAGGATGGTCAGCCGTCTATAAGCCAATCACATGACTTTAAATCCTTGATAAATGATAACCAATCAATAGCCAAAACCAATTATCAAACTGGCCACTATGGAAGATTGTTTCCACCACTGGATAAAAAATAAATAAATAAAAAAGGTAATTGTGTAACTTTTTAGCTCACAGTTCTGACTTTTTTTTTGCACAATACTGAGGAGAATTGTGAGATATAAACTCAGAATTGTGAGATATAAATGCATTATTGTGAGGTATAAACACAGAATTTTGAGATATAAATTCAGAATTGCAAGATATAAAAGCAGAAATGTGAGATATAAACTCAGAATTGCAAGATATAAACAAAATTGTCCGATATAAACTCAGAATTGCAAGATATGAATGCAGAAATGTGATATACAGTATAAACTCAGAATTGCAAGATATAAACAAAAATTGTCAGATATAAACTCAGAATTGCAAGATATAAACGCAGAAATTACTGAGAATTGCAAGATATAAATGCAGAAATGTGAGATATAAACTCAGAATTGCAAGATATAAACAAAACTGTGAGATATAAACTCAGAATTGCAAGATGTAAACAAAATTGTCAGATATAAATTCAGAATTGCAAAACAGAATTGTATGTCCTATAGGATATAGGCCCTAAACTCAGAATTTAGAGGTATAATAAACACAGAATTGTGAGATATAAACTCAGAATTGCAAGATATAAATGCAGAATTGTGAGATATAAACTCAGAATTGCAAGATATAAATGCAGAATTGTGAGATATAAACTCAGAATTGCAAGATATAAACAAAATTGTCAGATATAAACTCAGAATTGCAAGATATAAACAAAATTGTCAGATATAAACTCAGAATTGCAAGATATAAACAAAATTGTCAGATATAAACTCAGAATTGCAAGATATAAACAAAATTGTCAGATATAAACTCAGAATTGCAAAACAGAATTGTGAGGCCCTAAACTCAGAATTTAGAGGTATAATAAACACAGAATTGTGAGATATAAACTCAGAATTGCAAGATATAAATGCAGAAATTACTGAGAATTGCAAGATATAAATGCAGAAATTACTGAGAATTGCAAGATATAAATGCAGAAATTACTGAGAATTGCAAGATATAAATGCAGAAATGTGAGATATAAACTCAGAATTGCAAGATATAAACAAAATTGTCAGATATAAACTCAGAATTGCAAAACAGAATTGTATATAGGTCCTATAGGATATAGGCCCTAACCTCAGAATTTAGAGGTATAATAAACACAGAATTGTGAGATATAAACTCAGAATTGCAAGA